GTGGTTCCCAAACTGTTCTCCATACTAGAAAGAAAAACCTCAATGTCATCTTTTTTCTTTTAATTTTTCCAAATTTTTGCAGCTTTTATAGATTGTTAATAGATGACGAAATGGATTAACAAGTAGAAAATAAAGTTTTAGAACTTTTATATCAACCCTGCTCATGTAGTTTGAAAGCATCCCTTTTTGTTCATTGACACCTGTGCTCAGGGCTTTGATTTGGTCTTATGATTTATGCACTATAAATGCAATTAAATTTTAAATATATGTACAAGTTAAGTAGCTAAATATATACTTTTGTGCTAAATCATATTCTATATGATAAAATTAAATATCATAATTTTCCTTGGTGCTCACCAAAGTGCATGGCACCATCCAGGCGCTCTGCCACCAAAACACTTTTGAAAGAACCAGCCTAGTTACCAGGTAACTCTCATTACTTCTCCTGCGTCTTCTCCTCTTTGCTAATCTTTTCTTTCTTTTGGATGATGACTGTCATTCTCAAGAATTTTGTGTCACCAATTGATTTGTATCCAAGTTTTCATTTATTCTCTCTGTCTAGATCAATCACATTATACAAAGATTTCATGAAAATGATAAAAACAACATAGTAATAGTTGCAAAGGCTAACCCCTCTTGAGCACTTTCTGTGCTCCAGGAGCTAGGGTAAACTCTTTTCCTAGATGAATTCATTCAGTTGTTACCACAACCCTCTCTGGTATGTTCTATAAGTAGTCCTATTTTCTACCTGAGAAAACTGGAGGGAAAGGATATGTAATTCACCCAAGAGCACACCACCACCAAGTGTTACATGATATTAAAGTTGATTACAAAATATCCTTTCTCTCACTCTCCTTGAAAAGCAGAAGTTACTTCTCAAACTCCTTAACTGGCATTATTCACTCTTTCCTTTATAGACACTTAGAACTTTGTTTAAAAATTTTTTTGTTCTTATTTATCTAATTTTGTCTTATATGTAATTATTTCTGTACATGACCAGATTATGAGAACATGCATTTGTAACCAATAGATTATTTTATTGCTCTGATGCCTTATGCAATAACCAACTCATTGCAGGCACACTTTTAACGCGTGATAATGAGAACATCAAAGACATTTCTAAAGGTTATGAACACAAGTTCAAATGGATTTTTGGGTTTTCCAGAGAAGAAAACTTAATATTAAACATTATCTGTTTAACCAGGCTACTTAAATTATTTAGCCCTATATATTAAAGGGATTTTCCTCTAGAAGTCAGTCCAAAACAGGCGCATGCACGCGCACCCCATGCAAACACTCTTGTAACACACATGAGAAAACATCATTTCATGAGAGCCACATCCCCTCAGTGGTGTCAGTGATTTTTGCTTCCTGGTTGGGAGGTCAAGTTCTTTCTTTCAATTACATGGAGTTTGGTGTGGGACAATTGCACAGTTAAATCATAAAGTGTTTGAGGGGTCTCTTTCATTAGTTATAGGGAAAATTTAATCCACAAAAGTAATCCCGAAATGTGTCATTTTAAAAACTGCTACCAGAAATAGGCACATAAGGTCCAGAATTGAAATCTGGAAAATCAAAACATTTTCTTGTTAATATCTTCTTAGCCTAGAAAAGACATTTCTCTAATTCGATTACACAGAATGGTGCAATTCTTATCACAAACGAATGTCTGTACGGTCATACAAAGGTGTGTGTGGGACAACACTCACTGTGTGCAGGGCTTGAGAAAACAAACCCAGGTCACCTCTGATCAATTGGGGGGGGTTAAAGTAAGACTGCTTCCTACGTCAAATTTATCTGCTTAAAAATAAAAGTCTTGGATGCTTATTGTGTCCTTATTGTGGCTCTTATCTTTCCTTTATCCTGTACATCAACTTGACTCTGTGGTTAGGTTAAGGCACAGAGCGAATAGGAGCCTGGGGCATCTTCAGTATATAGTATTGTCTAAAAATAGATTCCACAGTAAACATGTGGTGTGACTGCTGATCAGAGGGCCCAGGAGAGACCTCTGAGGTGACTCCTATTGGGAAGACTCTAACCGACCGTCTGCTTAAAGTTCTTGCTTGACGGAAAACCACCAGAAGTCAGTAGAAGTCAGGGAAGACTCCACCCCTGCCATGTTCCTCTCCCCATTAAGTCATTTAAAACTCAATAAATCAAAGGCATCAAGAGGAGAATCACAGCATAAAGGAACAGAGGTTCAGCGGACGAAAGCACAAGCCTTCTCCAGCACGCCATGGGGCCCTTTTCACCAAGCACTTCTAAAGAGTTTCTCACCCTACCATTCCTTTCAATGCCTACACTACTTCTTTCTGAAGTGAATTGCTGGCTGCCTTGGAACAGCAATTTAATACTTCTACAGAACGAGCCTGCTTAAAAAGTACAGCCATTCTATTCTGAAGCTATTAAACCAACACATCTGTTTGCTTTCCTTGCCCACATTTATTTATGCACAGGTTAAACGGATTTCTGTATTAGCCACATTATTCATAACATTAACTTGAATTCTTTGAATTTACATGTGCTTTCTAAATAGGAGAGACAATAGATCAGGAAATTAAACCGCTCTCTTTAACCCTGTGGGGTTTACCAGTAAAACAGAGAACCATCTTTGGCTATTGTTGAAGCTGAGCATTTAGCTTTCTTTCAGGACAGATGAAGTAAGTCTGATTGGGGGGCATCGATGTTATTCACTATGGTGAAAATGATGGAATTTTTGTGCTTCAGAATCTGAAGCTGCTATAAAAAAAGGTGGGGATGAGGAGCAGACAAAAATAGAAAGCTGTTCACAAATACCTATTTAGAAGGCAGAATGTTTTTGAGCTTTCATCTCTGTGAGTAGAATACCATTACATAGGAACTCTCCTTCTTCAGGTGCACCATTTGTTTTAGTGAGCACATTGCTTTATCTTAATACAAAACTGAACTTTAGACCCATTAGAAAGATAGCAGCAAGGTATTAAAAGAGCTATACCCAGAGAAGAGACATTGAAACAAATGCATTTTTGCATCAAGAGTCTCAGATCCACCTTCCTCACACTTCGAAAAGAACTTGACAGTTAAAAACAAGTGATAACACCCAAAGGCTATAGGAAAATCTAGCAAGTGCCAATCCTCTGCTAATGCGTTCAATGCAATCTAAGCACGTGCAATGCCATTTGCTTCACAAACAGGACCACTGAGTAAGAAACTAAGTCAACAGAAGTCTTTGGCTTGAAAACCCACTGTCACAGGTGGTCATGGCTGAGCTACACAGTTTTTCTCAGCAGGATAATAAGCTCACCTCTACTCATGCAACTGTTCTCACAAACCTGTTCAGTGTAGGTTCTAACCAGCATATTAACCGTAAGCCTACAAGAACCCTTAAATATGACAAAGAGAATGGCCTTCGGTTAGACTTCGTTAAAACATAGTCTCTTCTCGCAAAACGACGTCTTGATAGTACCAAATTCATTTTGAGATTTGCTCACTGTCGCAAGGTAATCTGGGTATCCAGTAAAAGAAATTGCTACGGAGTAATCACAATAGCAAAACATACCACTGATTATGAAAAGTTTGACTTTTTCAAGCCCAGCATGCTCTTTTTGTTGAGTCGGCAAGAGGTAAAATTTAAAGAAGATCCGTCACACTTTTCACATACAAGCAATATTTTGCAGAAGTTTCATATCTAAACTAGGTATGACTAATTCTAGTTTTTGTTGTAATAAATGTGTTGACTACTTAAAAAAGATTATCCTTATAAAAATTAATACTTTCATAGAAGGGATGATGATGGCTCTTCATCTTTGTTTTATATAACCAACATTAAGACTCTGGAGGCTACAGTCTATGGAGCTTTCTGAGTCACTTAAATTATAGCATCCTTATAAAGCAAATGTACTTTTGGAAGATTTTCACTGTCTTTAAAGATCACTGTGGGCTGGGTTTCCACTGTTCAAATATTTATTATTTTATGCATATGTTGACAAGCATCTACTTAAGTGCCCAAACTTTGAGAACTTCCTTTTTCTAGAATACTCCACAAGTAATTACTAAAGCATAACACAAGAGTTCAGCGCGAGTGGCAAGACTCTTCAAAGAATAACTGTGATGCACAATTTGCACTGAGTTGCTTAGAGCTGACCACAACTAATGACATGGGTTCTGTAACTGGAGCAAGTATTATGACACTGGGAGGCAAAGTGATTTTAAAACCATCTGCATTTTGTAAACTAAAGTGACAAGCAACCCTTGGAGAAAATCATGACTACAACTCACATTCCATTTTAGTTGGGGAAAGTCACCTGGGCTCTGTTTGCAAGGAAAGACTAAGTTCATCACCTACAGGGGTGCCAAATCAAACAGTCCTCACACTGGAGGGAAAATCTGGTTACAAGAGCCTGAAAGAGAGTGTGTAGACAAGGAGTGGAATCGTGAAGATTACTGCCCCGATTGTTCATAGATGAGTTTTCTTCATCCTTCTCAATTTCAGAATTAGATAGAACCCTATTTTCTCCCTTCATTTTCCATCAGAGGCACAGATAATGTTTCCATTCACATAGATTTGAAAAGCTCCTCATCCTGTGTGGGTTATTTTATTTTATAGTAGCCAAGGGAAAGAGGTTGCTGCCAATATGATGCTAAGGGATGCAGAAGAAAGGCTTAGTCCCGGGCAGTGAAACAGTCCACCTTTGTGCTGCTCTTGTGGGAGAATGCAAGCCCATCACCAACTTTGGGACTTGATCAACAGTGGGAGTCACAAAACTCCTTTCAATCACTGCCTTTTAAACCTCCACTAAAAACAGCTCCTCTGTGTGGGGCTTAAACTCCCCTCTCTGGCCACTGACCAGTACAGTGCTTCTTTGTTTCTGACGAGGCTCTCTGCATCAGCACCCTGAGGGGGCCGTCTAACTTTTAATCACCTTGTGTGCTCTTTAACTAGACCTGTTCACAAGGCGGCCAAATGAACTTGCCTACCGCTATGCCTACTCAAAACACTGAAACAGGCCACTTCCCAAGTCCGGGAACTTTGATGCCAGGCTTATCGTCTTCCGGGAGTCCTGGTTTTTCTCTGGTTCCCTGTACCTTAACATCAGACACTCTTGGGGGAGGAGGTAAACTCTGTGGCTATTAAGACAGCTCCAATGTAAAGACAGTTCCTGGTGACAATTCCTTCCGTCTATCCGTCTATCTCCTTTCCTTATTTTGGTCTGTTACGGCGTGTTATCTGTTTGCTACTAGTAGGGGTGGAGGGAAGCACGCTGTATTTGGAAGGGAAAGCTCTCGGTCCTGTCACTGGGAGCAATACCGAGACTTTCTCCAAGGGCTGAGAGAACTAGAAAACGGCTCTACTCTGCAGGAAGGATGTCAGAGTCCGAAACACAGAGGGACCCTCTAACTTAGGCGGGGGATGTAAACAGCTGAAGTGTCTGTCCTTGGCCCCCACAGGTGACCTGCAGTAGTTCCAACCTGCCGGCAGCGCCCCTGGCTCAGGTCCCTCGCGCTCCTGGACTCACCTGGTGCTGAGGATCAGCGCCGGCAGCAGAGGCAGCAGGTACAGCGCCGGGCTGAACTGCATGCTGTCGCCTGAGGGGGCCTCCTTCCCTCGCTGCCTTCGCTCTCCCTCCTCCTCTGGGTCTTGTCGCTCGGTTCTGGCCCCGGCCGGCGATGAGCCCTCTCCAGCAGCGGACGGAAGGAAACGGACAAATGGACGGACGCCGCGCGAAGGCAAGCACTGAGCGCGGGGAGTATCTTCGGGAGTGATGTCACCGGCGAAGCGAGCCCTGCCCGGGATCGTTCGGCGCCGCCGCTCCCGAGCCCGGAGGGCGCGTTGTCACTCGCGCTGGAGGCGGCGCGGGGAGAGGGAGGGGGCGCCCAGCGAGGGCCCCGCGCGCTCGGGTCACCGGGCTGCGCTCTGGTCCCCGGCTGCACACCCGCCCGAGGCTGATCATTTATCCCGCTTCTTTCAAGGAAGGGAGGGGCGGGACCGGGTCGAGGAGAGAAATCTAATCCTCCAGTGTTGAACCGGCGTGCTCAGCAGGAGGTGAGAACGAATTCACTGGGAAAGACGATCAGATGCTCAGAGTCGCAGGCAGGTGTCCCGCACCTGATTAAACAGTGTTTGGAAGAACCTCGTTCTGGAGAGAGTGTTTAAAATATTCTAATTAGAAATGCATAGTAATTCGCCTGATGCTGCTGGAAGGACAGCAGGAGTGAGCAGCGCCCAGAAATGCACCGTGAGCCCTAATGCCATTGCAAGCTTCTTAGTCCGCAAACACGGACTATAAGAGGTGTCAGGACAGTTAAGACGTCTGCTGCTTCTGGGTTTTGAAGATTTCTGATCTTCCTCTCATTTCAATCTGTCGGTTTGTACCAGCAGCTGGCAGTGGGATTGGAGATGATGGCCCAATTTCACTCACCTGAACGGCTCCTTTTCTTCAGGTGTGGAAACAACTGAGAAATTCATCAAGATCGTAACAGTAATTAACTCAGAGTGGTGGGATCGGAAGGCAGAAGGTTTGATGTGTCGTTTAATTTTCTATATTTTCCAAATTTTATATAGTGAACATCTGAGATTTAATAAGCTTTATTTTAAAAAATTAATTAGGAAAATTCAAAACAACTCTAATACGAAAGATTTTGCAGAAGCAATTCTGGAAAATAGCACCAACTTCATCTACTGAAATGTTCAATTCTAGGATCTTTACAACATGCTACATTTTTTTATATTCTAGCAGGATATCCCAGTTAAATAAATGTTTATGAAGCACTTCTTCACCCATTATTTCATTTGAACAAGAGCCATTCTAGAGAAATATAAATTAATATTATCCTTATTATAGAGGAGACTGAAAACCACCAAGATCTGAGCCAGATTTTTTTTTTTTTTAAACAAAGAACTGCGTTCTTCTAAATCTTAAGCAAACGTTGCCTGGAACATCACCTCTGGCACAACTAGCCCAGTGATTAACACAAAGTTGATGTTCAGTAGAGGGTAAAGGGCACCCGAAACCCTATAGGGTGAAGGGCAGGCAGTCTCCAGGAACTCCTATCCAGAGGGTACAGCTCATATCCCATTTTTTCAGGGACAAGGCATTTACAGTAAAGTTTAGATGAAGCATCTTCTTTAATCTAATTTTTGAAGACATTGCTTGTAGGAAAAACACAGCCTTTTCTCATAAAGCTTCATTTTAAGAAGGATACAAGTTTAAAGAATTAACCATCTAATTTACTGATTTGTTTTTGCTTTTCCTTTTAACGGGATTAAAGTTTAAGACATTCATACAGAACAGATATTATTTTTTAAACCCCAGTCTGTAAAGTAGCTGAGTAATAACTTTTGCAAACTGGATACCAGCCCCTTAGGCAATAGTAAGATCCACAACAGATACAACTAGGCACGGGCAAATCAACTCACTTGCGAAGTGCATGTCATTTGCAAAGAAAAATTGCGCTACACTTTGCTGAAACAGAACTCGGACTCCAAAGGAAAATGTGTATTTCAGTTGCTCCTGTGAGAATTGTTTAAGATAGATTTCTTGCTCAGTGTGGAAAGTAATCATGTGAGTTGAACACCCAACAAAGACCTATGGCTACTAAGCAATAAAAAAAGAATGTGTCTACTAGGAAATACTCATATTTGTAGAACACGTTTTTGTTTACATAGCAAGTTTGAGTTCGTTATCTTCTGTTGTAATTATAGGAACCAATTGTGATAGTCATTTCTATGATTCTCCTCTTTTGCAGTTGAGTTGACAGATTCAGAGTGGTTAAGTAACTTGCTCAAGGTGACTCAGTAAATTATGTAGTGGAGATGGCATTTGAATTCAGTCTGCATCACTTTAAAACATTTGTTTTCTTAAGGAAAAGTTTTGGATTTTTTATACGTATGTAAGAGAAGACTTTCCTCAACCTGCACTGTGTTACTTTTTATTAGATGTACAACGTAAAACAAGAGTCAGACTAGTGTGGACTGTCAACCAAGAAAGGGAAGTATCAGAATGAACTTTGTTTAGAGTGAGTCTCACGGTTATGTTGTGCCTCTGTATTGGATACCAATAAAGAACCAACAAGCTTTGTTGTTTTTTGTGCATTTTCTGCAGAAAAAAAGATATCTAACTTAGGAGGGCATGAGAGCGTCAGGCAAGCACATCTTGGAAGGGGAGCCTAAGTGAGATTTTGGAAACTCCTGCAGACTTAGAGGATTGAAGTGCTATATTCTGAATTCAAGTATCTATCTGCCTCCAGCAGAAGTCTTTTCTTCTTGGGGAATTACAACACTGTAAGTCTCCCCCACCCATGACATTCTGTCCACACTGTCACGGGAAAACTCAAATCCAGAATTGGTTTTCTGGCTTCAGAAAGTTGGTATGTGAATTGTTAAGATACAGCAGTGCAGACAGAAGCTTCACTGAACTGAAACCACTTGTCCTATGCTGAGTCCGAACAGCAAACTCAGCAAAAGCTGTTTGTAGTAACTATACACAAGTCTGGACAAACGACACCAGGAAAGTCCATGCAATTACACTAAGGGGCTAGTCCCCATGAATTGCTGGGATTGGGAGACATAGAGACTATTTTTTTAAACAGCTTTATTGAGGTTTAATTCAGGTACCCCAAACACCATTTTAAAGTGTATAATTCAGTGTTTTCAATATATTCACAAGGTGACGAAATCATCACCATTATCTAATTTCGGAACATTTCTATTACCTCCAAAAGAAATCCCAAACCCACTAGCAATCACTCATCATTCTCTTCTTTCTCCCTTCTCCCCTTCATTGGCAACCACTAATGTAATTAGTGTCTACATGGATGTGCCTAATTCTTGATATTTCATATAAATTGAATCATACTATATGTGGTCTTATGTGACTAGTTTTTTTCATACTAATGTTTCAAGGTTTATCCATATTGTAACATGTATCAGTACTTCTTTCCTTTTTATTGCTGAATAATGTTCTATTGTAGAGATATACCGCATTGTGTGCATCCATTCATCAACTGATGGACATTAGAGTTGTTTCCATGTTTTGGTTATTATGTGTAATACTTCTGTGAACATTCATATAGAAGTTCCAGTGTGAACATCTGTTTCCAATTCTCTTGGGTATATACCTTGGAGAGGCCTGGGAGAGGAATTGCTGGGTCATATGATAACACTCCGTTTAACTTTTTTTAGAAACTACCAAACTATTTTCCAGAATAGTTGTACCATTGTACATTCCCGTCAGTAATACCTGAGAGTGTCAATTTCTCTACATCCTTCCCAACACCCGGTATTTTCAGTTTATTTGTTTCTATTATTATTATAGCCATCCTAGTGGATATGAAGTGGTTTCTCATTGTGGTTTTGATTCATGTTTACCAGATGGTTAGTCATATTGAACATCTTTTCATGTCCTTATTGGCCATTCATAAACAATTTTTGGAAATATGTTTATTCAAATTCTTTCCTATTTTAATTGAGTCATTTGTGATTTATTTCTGAATTATAAGAGTTATTTATACATTCTGGATACAATTCCTTTATTGGATATATGATTTGAAAATGTTTTCTCCCAATGCATGTGTTGTCTTTTCATTTTCTTGATGGTGTCACTTTCAACATAAACACTTTCAATTTTCATGAGGTCCAATTTATCTCTTTTTTACTTTTGTCATTGGTCCTCTTGGCATCTAAGAAGGCTTTGCTTCATCTGAGATTATGAAGATTTATGTCTATACTTTCCCCTGACAGTTTCTTGTTTTAGCTGTGATCCATTTGGAGTCAGTTTTTGTGTATGGTGTGAGATAGGGGTCCAGCTTAATTCTTTGCATGTGGCGATCTGGTTGCCCTAGCATCATTTGTTAAAAAGGTTATTCTTTCTCCTATGTAATTGCCCTGTTATTTCTTCTTTCTCAGGGTAGTATGTTTTCATAATTTCTGCATTTATTTTTTTCTACTTTTATATTCTAAACTCTGATATCCACCACAGTTTCATCCTTGATCCTCCTCTTTTAAAACTCCATATTTTTCTTCCCATGATGAACTTATATAAACTTCCCGTGGTGAACATGTTCTTATAGTTTTTAATATCGCCACTATTGTATAACTCTAAAAATGTGCCTGCAGCCTAGACTTCCTCACTGAGCCCTTACTTAGGTTTCCCTTGGGTGCGTCAAAATCAAACTCAACCACACTAAACATTTGTTCTTCCTCTCTGTCTGATCATCCTTCCGTTTACTTCCTCATATCACGGTCAACTGAGTCACTCAAGTTACAAACCCGGGAGTCGTCCGTTGCTTTTATCTTTCACTTCTCCCACGTCTGGTCAATCAACAGGTCCTAAAGATTTTACTTCCTAAGTATTTCTTTATACCAATCATCCCACCCCTATATTAAACCTATCTCCAGGGCTCTATTTGGAGTCCATCATCTTTTGATTCTGAAGCATGTTCCTTACTCTCAGATGTATTTCCCTCAAATCCATTCCCCCAGTATTCTGCTTAAAATGCAGTTATCTTATTGCCTTAAAGCTCCTGAGAAATTACTCTCAATAATATTTTCAGTACGTGTCTCTTCTCTTTCTTTCTTTAACTTCCATGATGCATTCCAAACAGAGTAACAGAAGTTTTCCCTGACAATAACTTCACAATTTTTGTTATTATTCCTTCTTCTTAAAGTGTGCTCTCACTCACCTTACCTGGTCCTTCCTTTAATCATCTAAAACTCACCAAGGCCATCACCTCTTTCTAGAATACTTTCCTTAACTAATCTGCACCACAAACCAGGCGAAGTCTCCCTTCTCTGAGTCTTATGATGTGCTAGATTGCCTTGATATTACACCTATCATATTATTTTGTGATTATATATTTCTGTTTCTCACTACACTATAAATATATTAAGAAGAGGAGAGGGACATTTCTCACTCTTCTTGGTGCTAAGGTGAGGATATTGTGAAAATTATAATTTTATTTATGTATTTCCTAAGCCAATCACTAATTTTATTGAGAAAACAGTAGACCTGGGGGTTGAAGACCTAAAAGAAAAGAAAGTTTTTTCATTGAAAATACATTTACTGTTTTCATCCTCACTGTTTTATTGTTGCTAATGAAAACTATCTACAAGGAAATGCCCTCTAATAAGGCCAATTATCTCTTTTTCCACTTTTTACCAAATACACTCTAAGAAAGAGAAGAGAAATATAAGGCTAATACAAGTGATTGTATCCCATACAAAAACAAAAACAACAGACAAAAAACAAAAGAAAAAACCCCAAATCCTATACTCTCTAATTCTTTTGAGCCAAGTCATATGCATTGAATGGCTTTGACTGGCTGAATTCCCCATCTTCTTGACAAGTCATTCTGCTGATTCAGATGAGTAGTGAGAAGTCTATGCAAGAGCCCTCAGTGGGACTTCTCCAGGAAGGAAAAGGTACTCAGGTGTCTTATCTACCTTATACTTGTTGCCCTGGAAACAATCCTGTGTCCTCTTCTTTGCTGTCATCACCATGTAACTGAGTTACCCTGGGAGTAAGTCTATTCACTTGGAGAAAGAAATAGACAAACACAGTCATAAAGAAAACAATTCCTCTGTTTTCTTTTATCCAAATGCAGGGGATACATTGTAAATCTGCTTTCAGCAAACAATTATACTGGGAATTCACCAGGGTACTGAGACCTCACTGAATCCTTTTGTAAAGTGAAGTCTTCCTTTGTAACGAGCACAGCAATGCTTTAAAGTGTACATTGTTAGGCTCTTTTTTTAAAAAAGTATTTTGCGGTATATTTGCAAAGGAATCTGGTCTGCCCAACTGATCTGCTAAGAGGATCAGTTAAACTTCACCTAGCTTTTGAAATCAATGGCATCCCTTATTTTTTGGGATTTAAGTATGTGTTTCCTTTTGCCACATGCATTTGTTTGTCTCAGTGAATTTCTCAACACAGATAAACTTAAGACCCAATTTAGTCTGTCTTCTATGACTATCTCTCATTGTAGAACCACTGCTAAACCAAGATTTCTGAGGCATAGCTTCTCCTTACTCACAGTATTTAACATTGGACATAGGGTTTTTAAAGATATCCTCTCATCCAGCATTATATTTAACTCAAAATGCAATTAATGATGAGGATTGTGCTTCCAGGCATGAAGGAATAATGGGTGTCAGACTTGCTTTCCTACTATAAACAAATATAAAATTTGAAAAAAAATCATAAGATGACTATTTTCAGGCATTGGGAAATAGGAAGAACAGGGTCATAGAAAGAAAGCCCGTCTCACACCAGCTTTCTCAAGGGAAGCGTGTCAACTACCACAGTACAGGAAGGGACAGTAGAAGGGAAACAATAGTCCTACTCAGTTGAGCAGCCAGAAATCAGAATTTTGATCTGCTAAAGGGCCTAGGATTTGTGGGAAATAGTATCAGAGAAGAAGCTTTGCAAAAAACCTCCAAAATAATGAATGGGAGCTCCTTATGGGTCCTTGGCCAACGACTGGCGTGCATGAACCCAGAGCAGACTCTGTAGGCCCAGCTCTGCTAAGCGGCAGCTGCAGTGAGGCTGGAACAGTGACACCAAGTTCTTGAACCACTGTGAAGCATGGGACTTCCCGTCCAGCCAGGGTGGAGAAGCCCCAAGAGCACTTTACAAACACCTCAAACATTTAGCTGAGACTCCAGAAAGGCCATGCTTTTGGAGCAAGAACCATGCCTCAGTATAAGAGATCCATCTTAGAACTAAGGACAGAACTGATACAGATGCTCCACAAAAAGAATTTTGCAAAGCCTGGCAGTATTGAAAAAGAACCCACCAGTAATTTAACTGTCTACAGAGGAAAATTCAACATCTTCCAAGGAAAGATGATGCAATCTAGAATGTCTAGAGTGTACCTAGCACAATTCCAGGCATACAGTCAAATTATTATACACATGAAGAAGTATGGAAATGTGCTTGTAATCAAGCCTGAAAGTAATCAGTGGAAACAGAACCAAAAGAAACACAGATTTGGAAATTAGGTTGACAAGGATTACATAAAAATTTAAACTATAAGAATGAACAGGAGCTGGCCTGGTTGCATAGTGGTTAAGTTCATGT